CTCCTACTGTGGAGGACGCGTTCCTGGTTTGAGAGTTTCGTACAGTTGGTACATTGTCTGACTGACCTGCGGAGGTACAGTAGTTAGTGGTGTACAACTCTACAGAGTAGGGACTTGTACTGTAGGACTTGTACTGTACTTTGCTGTCGTATACTCAACAGGTTGTTGTTGCGCACTTTTAAGCTCAGCTCGCCACGTCAATGGTTGGTAAGCTTGCTGCTGATTTTGCTTTGCCTGCCCGGTAGTTACATGCTGTTGTCGACTTCATCATTGGATCATCACTGTCATCATCATCATCATCATCATTATTATGGTCACATCTACGGCTGCAATAATGTGGGAGAGAATGGATGGATGTGGGAGGGAAATGTGGGTTCAATGTGTACCGTAAGTGAGACTTTCAGGTGTGTGTGTGTGTGTGTGTTTCTCCTCCAGGCCCCGGCGCACAACACCATCTGATTAGTTTGGACTGTACGTAGTACCGGGCCGAGGCCGGGGTACTGTCTTCCACATGCTCTGATTTGACAGGAAACAATAATTAGCATGAGATGAGGAAAAGAAGAAAAAAAATATTATTAATGAAGTTAGAGCCCGGCGGATCAAAACCTAAGATCTGGTGTCATCGTCCTCCAAGTCCCAAATCTATCCACTGGACACGATCCAGGGTAGACAACTTCTACGAGAAGCCTCCCCTTTCGGGATGAGAGGGGAGCGCGAAGCCATAGAGAAAAAATTTTCAGACTCAAGACGGGAGACGAAAATCTCTGCAACCACAAAGTTGAGACGGTCTGTGTACTAAGAAGAGAGACGGGGGGGTGTTATGGTGTAAGAGAGTGTGTGAGGTATCGGGTGATTTCGGGAGAACTGCGGTCCTTTTTCCTCTTTCCTGGGGGAGGGCTTGCGAGTCCAAACAGGGCGGGCAACTATTGCGGAGAAAAGAGAGAAAGAAATTTTCTTACCTAACCCGACTTTTCCCTTTCCCCCTCCTCTTTCTCACTCTCCAGTCCCTTAGGAATGAGTTGAGGCCGGCACAGCATGCGGGCTCGCGTCCTCAAAGGGGTTTTCCGGTGAAGCAGCCATCGTCGTTAGAGCCTGTTCTGGCCTTGGTTGGGCAGTTTCTCCCCCCGGGACTTTCCCCCCCCCCCCCTCCCCCTCTCCCGGTCTCCCTTCTCCCTTCTCCCTCTCTTCTTGTTCAGTCGGCCATGGTTTGACTTTTTCCCCCACCCCCCTCTCCCCGCCGCCTTCTCTAGGCTAGGCTAGGTTCTCGGTCTGAGGCAATTTTTTTTCTCGCTGTGCCATCGGGATGTCCGACCCGAGTTTCTCTCGCTGTCTCTCTCTCTCTCTTGCTCTGCCGAATCTATCCCGAGTCCCGTGGTGGTCTGAGCCGTTCTCACTGGGCGGTTGGCCTCCAGGTTGCTCTTTGTCCGGCAGAAGGTATCCCGGTGGGTTGAACCTTGCTGCCTTTGCCGTGCAGCTGTGCCCAGGCGAGGCGTGCAGTGGCTTGACTGGCTTACTCTTCCGGGAAATTATGTAACTATTCTTATCATGTCGCGATGTGTTGGTGTTGCTGGCCCGTTCAGGGTCAAAGGAAATGAGATGAACCCCCCCCCCCCTCCTCCTCGGCAATTTCCTCCATATCGGCCAATTCTTTCTGCGACTGCTCGTCTACCATTACAGAAGCTATATTGGGTAGACTTTTTTGACGCTGAGGAACTCGCTAAGTCACGTTGTAGTCGACCAATTCCAAAACCCGGGAATCGTTGAGGGGCATACAGCAGTTAGAACAGGGAAAGGGGGAAAATTCTTCTCTCCCTACAACCCAATAACCATTTCACGTTTGCTACTTATCGTCTGCCATGCACCAACTTGTTTTTTTTTTATGATTTTGCGTTGTCATCTAACATGTAGCGGTGAGTATGTATAGAAAAAAAAGTTCTCGCCTACTTGCTTGCCGATGATTCATCTCCCAGGCACAAACAACACATCCTCCCCGCCTCATCTTTGTGCCTTTGCTTTTCCCCTTCTTGGGTCTATAAGCGAGTTTACTTTCCGTGACATGTGTAGTGACTGTGCCCGACCTTCAAGCTCGGCTTGCACATTAGCGATTTTACCATATAGGGAATCGTGTATGGCCGGTGGCTATTCATTGCTATATCCGACCTCTATAATCGATCACACCCCTATCAGAAATATAGATTCATGTTCTTGCTCACACCCCGGATCAGTCGACTGAGCCCACAATTGGTGGAAATACACATTTCCCCCCTCCATACCACCAATCAAAGACAGTAATCTCACATAGATTAAGACAAAACACCCCCCCTGGCTCCCCCGGCTGACAGCTGAGATAAGCCTTTTTGGTTTTGTGACATTCCACGTGACCGGGGTTGCACCACCCCCGGGGTGGTAAAGATTACTCCATGCGGAGAGAGAAAGAAGAATTTCGACGGGTGATTTTTGTTCCGCCGGATCCCCTAGGCGAGGCCGCGAGTTGGCGAGGGCGAGGGGTGGAGGGGGATTTTTCCGTGTGGGGGATTTGTCATAACTATGGAGATAAGTTGCCGAAGCCCCCCGGTTCACATGATCATTATGTGGAGGAGGGGGAGCCCCGGAGGGGGGCGGGGGGGGGGGATTGTTTTCTTGGTTTTCCACATAGTACGATTTGTGAGGCCTTTATTACGAGATTGTGGATTTTTGCTTATCAGGAGTAACTATAGTCAGGTGTTGCGCTTGCCGCTTGGGGGGTGGCGAAGGAGTATTAGAGTGTTTACCGTACATGGAGCAGGGAGTAGGGATTGGTAGATTTCGCTCTGTGTGTGCGGTTTCCCCCGCATTGGATGATCGAAAGGTCCTCTTGAACGGGACGTAAAGTAGTTTTCGTCCGGGCTTTTCACTGGCCTCTTAGCACTTGCTCTAGCTGGGTGGTATGGGCTTTGAGCTAGCATCTCTTACTATGTACTATGGGTCTGGGGATTGTGGGTAGCGTTGGAGGGGTTCGCGGTACGGGTTGATGAGGGCCGAGAGGTTGAAGGCGGTATGTGGTGGTGGTATGGATTGTTGTTGGTGGGCGCGATAGGAATATACTGTTTATGCAGTACTGATTTTATTAATTGGGTTGGTCTGTGGGTAGTATGGTTTAGGTCTATATTTTAATACATTGGTTGACGGTGAGTGTGTCGTTCCTGATTCTGAGCGCATGGTCTCGAAGATCCGGGGACCGGAATATATACTCGGAAATTGAGCCGAGAAGGTGCACATGTATACACCTGACCAATACATTAGACAAACAACATGCAGGAACAATGTTACCTCTTGAGTCTAGCCGTAGACATTGCCCGTGAGCTCCCGATTGATGTGGTGCTCGTGTCGCACCATGCGCCTGAAGGGTTTGTTATGTAACATGGCTCTTACTGTGGTAGTCATGTGGTTGGCTTCGGTAGCTGCTGTCTTGTTAATCGAGGTTTGATCTGGCCTCCAGACAACGATAGGATGCTCTGAGTGTTCGTACTTGGGTTTGCGCAGTGCAAAGCTAGCTGGATCTGTCTCATTCCAGCAACCGGGGCTCAGCGCCGCTATCGGCCAACGACTATATTAGTCTGCAGCTGGCACTGCACCAGAATCCTCAGAGACTTTGACCCTTGAACGGTTACTCTCATGACACCTTACAGAGTCCGGTGCTCTGAAAGACCTAGCTGCCAAATAGACATAGAGGACGTTGCGCTGCACATTCCAAACTGATCTCCTCACGTCAGGATATTCGGCAATATTACCCAATGCGGCCGCGATGATGTCGCGCTCCAAGTATTCTGCCGTGTCTGGCCGCCCTTTCGCCGGCCGAAGCAAAAGTTCAATCAGACAAGTTCTTGGACAATGCAGCCTCTCTACTGTTCCCAGCTCATTCAAATCAACGCTAGTGTTCGAATGATAGATCGTCCTCCGCTTGCTCTCAGGGATACCACGTATCTCAATCTCTGATCACTCGCGTCAAGTCATCGCGCAAATTTCTGTCCTCGTGCCCCATGGCTCCCCCGCGTCAACGTACGGCGGCCGTCCAGGACGACTCTCGATCGGAGGGCTCCAGTACTACCAGAGAACACAAGACTACGAGTGTCAAGTCCCGGAAAGGTGCGAACGGATCTCTGGTAACATCTGTCACCAGCCGAGAAGTCAAAGTCTCAGGAAACCTCGCCAATGTGACCAGTGCCCCCGCTGGGGGAAACGCTGCAGATGTGCCAAAGGTAGGCCTGCGAATTCCTCCTCGTCAGTCGCCGATAACCAAAATCAAAATCCCTACTTTGATCTTCTTTTCCAGAGGCTAGAATGACTGACATTGTGTTCTTTGGTGCAGATTCCCTGGAACGAGATGCCCCTTAGCCTCCTCCACTCGTACCGACACGCCTACAAACTTTCATCCCCCAGTGCCTTTCCCAGCGAATACTCTCACCTGCTCCTCTCCAGAGGCATCGGCCTACGATCCCCGACATCAATCGCCGCCCAGCGCGCTCATCTACATCGCCAAAATGAAACGACGAACGGCACCTCCCAACCGTCGAGCAGCACCGCCAACGCCCCCACCAGCGCTACGACTGCCGCGAGAAAAGCCCTGCACGGTAATCCTCCGTCGGCCACCAATGGTATCAGTGCCAAACAGAAAGACCGTCAAAATCAGAAGAAAGGACCGAATGAAATTGACGGGAAGAGCGCTTTGCATCACATCATCGGCCAAGACCGAGTAAGCAAGAACCAACTCGCCTTGTCGGTCCGCAAACACTTCAATAGTGCTGGACTTGCAGAGCAGGAGGCCATTGCTCGGTTTCTGTACAAAGTTCGGGAAGAGGGAAGAGGGCGACATTTTCGACTGAGGTTTCAACCTTAGATCGGCATGACGGCTTTCGCGCCATACTCTTCCCTTTCATTCTGCAAATAGTGCGCTGCGATTCGAAACGCCCGGTTATGCCTGCGGCATACAACCTACTACTCGTCTGGGTGCTTTCGCCTCGCCATGATCTTGTTTATATTTGGTGTCTCAGGGTCGACTTTCAGGATATCCTGAGGTGACCGGGTTGGTAGTCTCGCCATACTTGGGCCATCAGGTCACCCTCCCCTCCGCTCCTCCCGCCCGAGATGCACACATTCTTCTCTTCTTCTTGTCGGAAACGGACAGACACTGGCTCGGTTTCCTGTTGTTCTCTCGTGATACCCATCAGTGCGACATGTTTCACTGTGTTTTTCGTTTATCCTCTCTTCTCCTACCCTCTACACCTAATCTCTCCACACCCACCTCGGTCTTCTGGCATGCATATTTGCTGTCTACCTGCAAGCACGGTGACCTGGTATTCTTTGATGAAGACTGGGACAAGACTCGAACAGACATCATTTCACTGCTGCCATGCTCCGCCCCCGCAGGTACATTGCCATGACTCCACCATGCTCTCCGAGGGTGTGGAATACTCCTATCCCATATTTATCGCAGGCGCTTTGATAGACCGGCTCGGTTGCTCCTTTGCTTTATCCTCCCTTTCGGCTTTGCTCCTATGCTTCCAAATCTGCCTCTGCTGCATGTATAATAAATCTTAATAAAGCTCGGAGACCTCCCATCTTTTACATGTATGAGTAAACACAAACATTGTCGATACATTTTCAGGTTACCACCCCGTCCAATGAAAATAACAGGGCTCATCGATACGCTTTCGGGCTGTTACTTACGAGTCAGGGTATCATGAGGTATATCAACATTTATACCCATCCGCACATCAAATAGCCAATCCCCTCCCCCACCACCCACCACCAACCCCCCAAAGAAAGAAACCAACCAATTTACAACTCAATGAAAGCACCTTGAAGCAATAGTAGCAGCAAGAGGAGCTCAAATTGCCTATCCGTGGTAACAAACTCCTAACCAGTCTAGTCCCCAAGAAAAGAACACCTCAATAAGGTAAGCCCTCACAAGCGAACGCCCAATCATCCACGCCTTCCTGTCATTCCCGGAAATCACCAAATCAACAAGATCACAGATTCTCCCAGAAACTTTGCCAGAAAAAAAGCAAAGAGATTAAAACCATGTCTCAACGTGATGGGTTTTTCCCCTCCCCCAAGACAAAAGCCAAGATTACCACCAGAAGGACAAGAATTCGGTAACACAGAACGAGTGGATACAATCAAGTTTGGATTTACGTACATCCCCCTGGCCAAGCCCAGATCACTCCTTGCGGTTTGTATGCCCTGCTCAGTGGGGTTCATGTTAGTATCCATCGGGGTGGTTTGGGGTGATGTGCAGGACCGTGCCGATGGTAGATATGAGGGGGGAGTGGGGGGACGTACTCATGAACTAGCACCCACCTCGAAGGTCGATAGGAAGGTAGGGCACTTAACAGCGGAAAGATTGGGCAGGCAGTGGTGTGACACGGAAGGTGTCCGGATGCTAGGCTAAGGCGACTTGCCAGGGCCCAGACACACCCCGGAGTAGCAGATGTCGGTGTGACAGCAATCCTTGGTGCGGCGGCAGCGACGGTGGCATTTGCGGTCCTGGGTGGACATTTCGCCGTCTGCGGCGGGGGGCGCGATGCGGGTTGTTAGAAGAGTGGTGGCGTTGGTGGTGTCTTCTTCCCAGACCGAGGTGGTGTCGAAGGTATCGGCATCAGCATCACTCAGAAGGTCCATGTCCTCGTCCTCATCGCTGTCGAGTGTGTATGCCGCGATGGAGGTGACACCAAGATCCTCATCGAAATCGGTATCGAGATCAGCGACAGGAGAGGAGGCATCGATGTCGGTGTCAGGGGCGGAGGCAGCTGGCTCGGTCACGACATTGTCTAGAGCGTGGTGAAGGAGTTAGAGTTGCTTGATGGAGGATACGGTGCTTGTTAGTGGGGGGCACTGTACTGACCACGAGTGTAGAGGCTGATATACCCGTCCAGGGCTTTCTTGATGGACGCGTGCTCAGTGCAACCGTGCATGCACTTCACATAGGCGAGGACGGATTCGCGGGAGACCTGGTCGTTGTTGCTGTCGGTGCCGGCGGCGAGGGCGCAGTCGCAGCCTGCCTTGATGGCGGTCGAGGTCACCAGGGTGACTAGGAGGGTGAGCAGCCAGAGAGGATGGAGCTTCATCTTGTCACGGACGAATGAAAGTGGTTTGGGGTAGTGTGAAGGCGCTGTTAGATGCTGGGATTGGCGCTTTGTGGATGGATGGGGTTGGTTGAGAAGTGGAGGATGAGAAGAAGGCGGAGCATGGGAGATGGAAGGATGAAGAAGAGATTCGAGGATGAGAGGAGGGGGATTTTATAGCCCAGCAAATCAGTCAGAAGTGACTAGGTGAATGAATCACCTTGAAAATTCAGGCCCAGTGAATGAGTGCGAAAGAACCATTCCCCAGTGATACCTGGTACTGGGTGGGTGGCTAGGTATTAAGCTTGCATTCACCCAAAGCAAAACCAAAAGTGACAGTAAAAGTAATGTAGAACAGGCAGTAGCCTCTATTATCCAAGTTATACAGGCATAGTCTTCGTATATACATACATGCAAGGACTGATCACAGACCATTTAAAGTCTGGCACCAACACCAGAAAAAGTGCTGCCACACCAACTCTAAGCCCGCTCGTCTGCAGAACTTCGACACACGTCTAATACCAGTCGAATGGACCGATGCCCATCTTGTTTTCTCAGAGCGGAGTGGTGTTGTTCGGGGGGTTTTTGAGCATCGCCGCCTGTTCCCCATGAGTCCGCGTCTCGATGCGGAGCTCAGCTCAGGCCAAGGGACGACGAAATCCGCCCTGGTTGTAGACTCTGCCCACAACCTAAATGTCAATTGCTAAATTCAGAAGAAACGGTTCGTCAGATAGATAGGAAGCCGACTCCAAGCCCATGCTGTCCCTAATGAAACGCCCTGTACGTGACCCAATACAGTGTAGAACATTATCCTGAAGTGCTTGCCACATTACGGCACCAGCAGTAGTCAGGTCGTTCACTCATCATCCTCGATTGCCGCCTGGGACTTCTTCTTCGGCTTTGCCGCAAGCTCCTTCTGCCAAATATGGTTGGCAGCGGTCTTGTCAAGATCGGCGAACAAGATGTCGAAGACTTCTGAGTACCATCCAACTGCATGGCCTTCAATACCCTTCTTGATATTCTGCAAGAGAGTTAGCGTGGCTGCTAAGTCAGAACAATGCGAGTCAACTTACCTCGGGCAGTTCCAACCAGTCGGACATGTTGTCCGCAGGGAAGATGATCTTCTTAGCTCCCGCACGGCGAGCGGCCACCGTCTTCTCCCGTAGTCCTCCGATGCGCAAGACCTTACCAGTCACCGTGAGTTCACCGGTCATGGCGATGGTCGGGTCCAGAGGGTGGTTCAAAGCCAGAGACAGCAAAGACGTCGCCATTGTGATACCGGCAGACGGTCCGTCCTTGGGCACTGCACCCTCAGGACAGTGCATGTGCAACTTGGCCTTCTCAAAGAATCGATTCTCAGGGAACTGCTTCGCCATCACGGACTTGGCGAACGAGTACGCGATGTGGCTAGACTCTTTCATGACGTTTTGTAGGTTACCGGTAATGTCGATACCAGGTCGGGACTCGGGCGACAGAGCGTTTTCAAGAATGGATTCGACATAGAGAGCGGCACCGCCCATGCTGGTCCAGGCAAGACCCATGGTGACACCAGCTGGGAAAGTCTCGTACAGACGGTCGGCCCTGAAGACGGGAGGGCCAACGTAGTCAGTCAAACTGTCCTTGTCAATGCTGACACTAACGTGCTCAGGAACCTTCAACGCGACTCGGGGTGTTTCCGTGGTCGGCTTTTCCGAATCAAGAGAAGCGTTTGCGGAATCGGTCGACTCGGCTTCCTTCTGCGCCTCCGCTTGCACAGCCTTACCCTCGTCTGTGATTGCTTTTTCTTCGGCGAGAACATCCTCTCCAAGATCACGGACGATGTTGAAGGCGGCCTTACGGTACACCTTCTCAATCTGCTTCTTCAAGTTACGTACACCACTTTCACGGCAATATGACTTGATAAGCTCCTCAACCGCATCCTCGGTCAAGGTAACGTCTACCTCCTTCAGACCCGTCAATTCTTTCGCGGCGGGTGCAAGGTAGCGTTGGGCGATAGCCATCTTCTCATCCGCAACGTAGCCGGAGAGCTCAATCAACTCCATGCGATCCAGGAGGGGCCGGGGAATGGTGTCGGTGATGTTTGCGGTACAGACGAAAAGAACCTTAGACAAATCCACCGGGACATCCATGTAGTGATCCAGGAATGACGAGTTCTGCTCGGGATCGAGGAGTTCGAGCAGAGCAGACGAGGGATCACCTTGGTGACCATGGCCGATCTTGTCGATCTCATCGATCAGGATCAGAGGGTTTTCGGTCTGGCATTTCTTGAGGGCCTGAATTATCCGGCCAGGAAGTGCGCCAACGTAAGTCCTACGGTGTCCCTTGACCTCAGCAACATCTGTCAAGCCGCCAACAGAGAACCTGTAGTACTGCCTGTTCAAGGCACGTGCAATGGACTTTCCAATGCTGGTCTTACCCACACCTGGTGGTCCCACAAGACAGAGGATCTTGCCCTCGACAGTTCCGCGGAGCTTTCCAATGGCAATGAACTCAAGGATGCGGTCTTTGACGTCCTTGAGACCGTGGTGATCTTCATCAAGGACGGTCATCGCATTCTTGATACTGAAATTCTCCACGCTCTTCTGACCCCATGGGATCTGAGTCAACCAATCCAGATAGTTCCGGGTCACATTGAACTCGGATGCAGCCGGTTCCAGGTGAGCCAGCTTGTTGAGTTCCTCGTCGAACACCTTCTTGATGGCCTCCGGCATTGCGAGCTTCTCCGCCTTATCCTTGAACTTCTCAACCAGCTTGTCTTTACCATCGGATTCGATACCCAACTCCCGCTTAATACCCTTCATCTGCTCCATGAGCCAGTACTCACGCTGTCGCTTCTGAATCTTGGCCTCAACATCCTTAGAGATCTTCGACTGGAGTTGAGCGTTCATGAGCTCCTTCTTCAAGACAACGAGAGCCTTGGGAAGTCTTTCTTCGATGTTCATTAGCTCCAGGACCTCCTGCATTTCATTGAGTTCACCGGCAGAGACGGCGGCAGCGAAGTCGGCTAACTTGGCGGGATCGTCGCTGAGGTTTCCGGGGAATTGGTCGGTGTAAAAGGCAGAGATTTGATCACGGAACAGAGGGTTCAGGCTAGCGATTTCCTTACAGACGTTGACGATTTCGCTGGTCACAGCGCGAATGATGGCGCTTTTCTTGTCGTAGGCCTGCTCGGCCATATTTTCAACATTGACAAGGCTGACAAGGTACTTTCGCAAGAAGGAGGTTGGCTCGTAGTGATCCTTGGGGGCGACTTCCGCACTTCCCTCTTCGAAGCTAGCCACGACATCTCCACGCTTTTCCTGAACCTTTTCCTCCGCTGTGCCTGACTTCGCTGGATCGCTGGGCGGAATGAGGGAGGATATCTTGATACGACGGTGGGGGTAGAGGACGGCTGTCACACCGCCCGTGTCGCCACGGAGAGGATAGGCCGCGGTAATCTGTGCGAAGACACCGACGTCATAGACATCTTCGAGATTTTCGATTATGTCCCCATCCGCATTCTCATCCTTGAACAGGAAGGCGCCCACGTAAGGTTGACCACGCTTCATCATCTCCTGGATGGCGCTAGCAACGTTGGGGTCCTTGATGGTGATAGCTTTGTAGAAACCCGGGTAGAGTGGTCGCTTCGCGATGGGAATAGCCATGACCTGAGGATAGATGTCTGGGACCACTGGCTTTTGTAAGGCCTTCTCATTACTACCCTTCTTGCCCTTCTTGCCGCCGTCCTCATTGTCGCCGTTACTGGCGCCGCTAGGCTTGGAGTCCGAGGAGCCACCGCTGACAGGTATGGGGGTGGGTTCATCGGAAGAGCTTCCTTTGCCGTCTGCGGATTTGCCGCTCTTTTTCGACTCCTCTTCCAAGCCGCGTTGCTCCTTGTCCACCGCCGCCTTCTCTTTCCGCCGCCACGACCCCGATGTCGGAGCTCCGGGTTCTAGTGACGATCCCTGCCTGCTGGAGGGATCGGTCGCCTTTCGTCGAGCATCTGAGCGCCGTACAGAGTCCTTCTCCTCCTTGGTATCCTTCTGCTCTTTTTGCGTTGTGTCCTCCTTGTCGTCATTTTGTGGGGGCTTCTCTTTCAGACGGATTGAGCTCGAGGAGAAAGGTCGAGTAGAGGATGGAAGGGTACGGCCGACTCGGGTGGCACTCAAAATTGAACGAGCACTGGCATTGTGTCTGGGAGAAGAGAGCAGAGGGCGGAGGATTATAGGACGCGGCGTTTGGTGGAGCGCGGCTCTCCAGGGGAGTGTCTGGCCGCGGAGCATGCTACTGTGTCGACGCGGACGACGCGGACGGAATAAGGCGGGAAAGGAAAGGCGAAAGATATGGGATCAAGTACGGTAGCCTGGAGGCCGACCGAAAGAGCGGGTGATACAGATAGAGCTGGAGCTAGGAGAGGGGGGAGGAAAGAAAAGAGAAAACCAAGCAAGGTGGTGAAGGTAGCTAGATGTACTGAGTAGGTATGTAGATTGAGGGGGCGATCGAAGGTCTGTTCGGTCGAGTGATTGATTACCGAAGCAAGCGCAAGCTTTCATCATCGCTGCTGTTCGGAACCTTGTTGTTCCGATCGGGAAACTTTTTCGAGCCGGAACGACTCGAAGCTTCCAAACGTCTTCCCCATCAGGAGGCGGTCGATGCTTCAAGAAAGGTCTCCGGTGGTTCTTCTTCCTCTCAAACCAGCTTCCGCCAATTCAAATTTCTCCTTCTCCTCATCCCATTTCCCGTCGTTGCGTTTTTTTTGATGCTTAGCTGTCTTCCACAATGAGTGCTACATCTGCCGCTATGCCCAAAGCCGCGGCTCTCCCCGCTCGTTTACTGCGGACCTCGCGGCAATACTCCAAGCAGAGTCCCTCCACCACCATCCGGTCCTCAACCCCGGCCCGGACCTATCATGCCTCTACCGCTTCTTCAAGCAACAAGCGCTTGCGCGATGGTGCCTGCAGCAAGAAGCAACCTGCAGTTCCTTCAACAACTAGGGTAAGTTGTCCGGGCATTAACCGGCCAAGTCTTCTTGCGAAGTTTGGACTGCGCACTAACATGAGTCCCCCTTGGCTTGCAGACTTTTCATACAACTGCTCCGCTCGCGGCTGTCTCCGACCCTTACAAAGTCCT